CTGCTCTGGAGGCTGCGTGTGCCCAGTTTCCGAAGGCTCCGGCAGCCCGGGCAGCTGCCGTGCCCCCACTGCAGGCAGGCGTGCCTCTGCGGCTCGCGGCTGGCAGCGGATCTGAACGAGAGCGTATCCACAAACCCAAGCGGTTTCCCCACAAGAACAACAAAAAAAAAGCAACACACGCACTCAGCGCAGAATCAGCGCGGGAGGCGGTGTGCGGAGCTGTCGAGGTGTTGTTGCAAAACACCGAGCATCGATGGTGGAACGTGTGCCCGTGTCAGTGACGGCTCCTGGCTCAGATGCAGCGCGGGTACGGCAACTAATGCGCTCCATGGGGAATACTGGCTGATTTATCTCTAGGATTTGGAACATCTGTCCCTCCCGCCCAGTCTGCCTGAGATGGGGATGAGTACTGTTGCTTTTTCTACCCCAGCTCTGGGGATAGTTGAGCAGTGAGTAGAAGCAGGTTATCACAGTAAATCAGGTGACGGTGGCTTGGTGGAAGCCCCTGTTCCTCCCGGCAGACATCTACCGAAAAACCAGAGTTAGAGCTAAGGAAGGGCACACCCAAAGGAGCCGGCAATAAAGCTCAGGCTCCGAGGACCCGTTCTGAATGGAAACAATCCCCTTCCAAAAGGGATTCTGATGGGTCACAACAGCCTGGGGAGGACTGGTGGTGGAGAGCGAAGGGTGTTGCTGGCAGCTCCCTAATAGTCGGAGACAATTAAGAAAGGAATGGTGATCACTGTCAAGTGACTGAGAGACAGCTCCCAGCTGAGTACTGCTTGGAAATTTGAGATCTAATTAAAGCGGGCCTTGGATCTCATCATTCTTCCTGCACGCCTGGGACGATGAAATACTGACTCGCGCATCTGTTCTGTATGTGTGTTTGATGCAAATAAGGAAGAAGTCTGTAAATACATCAAAAACCATACTTTATTTTATGTATAGCAATACAATTTACATATTAAATAACACTATAATAGAATGATTTGATATAGTTTAACATAACAAAAAGAAGATTCTTCAAGTTACAAAAAACCCCCAAACAAAAACCAAAACAAAACGAACAAAAAATCTCCCTCGAAATACTCCCTCCCACCCTCTCCCCAAACCAAACACCACATTTTTTTTTTCTTCTGAATGGATCAATGAGACAAACGTATCCAGTGACTGGCTAAGTCTAATTCCTATTGCACACACTGACAATGGAATCCAAAAAAAAAATCCAACTTTCACAATCACTGCCCCAAAGAAATGACATGTGTGGAAATCTTTTTTGGAGTGTGATGATGGTGTCTCACTACCTCGAACACAGAAGGTATGTATTCACATAGCCACCACAGAACTAGGAAGGAGGTGAAACTAGAAAAAAATTAGCTTTATATGAAAATATAAAATTCTATGATTATATACCATAGATACAAAGTTCCCAGAAGATGCTTATCCAAGCAACAAAATATTTACAGTTTTAATGACTTTGCTATTTTAAAAATGAAGGAAAAGAAAATAGGAGTACACATGAATGCTTCGGTCTTTAGAAACAATGGCTGCTTGCTAGTTTCAAATGTTCTAACAAAACAAAAAAAGTCACTACCCCAAATGTTGGAGAGTTGTGACATTGTATAAAATCGACTATCTCCTCTTTTGGAGACGTTTATTCTTAAAACTCAAGACATTTTTCTTGAAATTAATTATCCTCTGTAGAAAATGCTTCCCTTTGCAAATAGTTAACAAAAACACTAAAAACAGTTTAACAGCTAAGACAAAGTAGAGGCCAAATCTCTTCATTACAGTTCCTTCTCTCTCTTTATTTTTGCATTCCTTCTCCTTTGATAAGTAAAGCCAATGTAGTTCACATTGTTAGAATGGCAACAAAGAGAAGAAGAGCAAAGGGGTAACAGTAAGAGTTGAATTACTTCTGTAAAAAAAAAAAAAAAAAAGGAAAAAGAAAAAGAAGAAAAGCAATGCAGTGGATTAACAAATAGGCATTTTCCCTTCATATAAAAATTCACTGGCACCATTTGAACATAAACTTCAGAACGCAAGATCTGATGTCAGCAGACATGGATTTGAGAAAGACTGCTAAATCTTTAAGACAAGTACGTTTTAATTTTTTTTTTTTAAGTTGGTTTTGTTTTGAGAATTAGTAGTATGTATCTTTGGTAGAATCAATATCTGTATTTTTTAGCTTTCAAATAAAACAGCTTAAAAAATGATTAATAAGAAGGCAGTTGTGCTGTCATAAAGATTCTTCTCCTAATGTTCCAATGTATCACTCTGGGCTCAAGCAGTCAAACTGGAAAAACAAGTGAAATTTTGCAGATCCTGTAAATGATTCCACTAACCTAGAACAGACCCACCATACAGAAACAGTCGCACCCAAGAAGTAGTTTGGGATTTTTCTTTTTCCTGTTTCTAAATTCCGATTTGGAAACAGACACGGTGAAATACTAAGGACAAATGCTGTTTAAAATGAATGTTCTTTAGAGCTTGGTCCTGCAGAAGAATCAGTGCTTAGCCCGCACGCCTGAGCAGTCCTACCGGCTCTCCCAGACCTGCCTACGGATGCCAAGTTCACGTACGGGAGTGTTTGTAGGATGGGACGTCCGGCTGAGACTGTCACCCATTTTAGATGTTAAGATGACACAGCAGCTTTCCAAGCATTCCCTCTTGGAAAGCTTGGCTGCTCTTATGGGCTCATTGCACAGAAGTTTTTTATGTCCTTCACATGCTCTGTGGGCGCCGTACACATGCAAGACATGGGGAAATAGTATTTTCTAAATGTAGACACACACATGCACGTGTACTTCAGTCCTTTATTTCCTTATTTCTCAGGGCTGGTGCTGAGGACCACGTTTTACAGCGATGGGATATACTCAGGTTCTTTTAATTTGCAGGCCTGCACATTGTCTGGGAACTTCTGATGCTTGAAAGACATCCCGGCTGAACGCCAAGGAGTGGTTACAGCGGGGCGGGGGGGCCGGCGTGGCAAAAGCAAGGTTGCGATGCACAGAGCGGGGCTTTGGCCCGAAAGCCTCACGAGAGCATCCCAGCGGAGCTCTACGAGTGCAGACCTCTGCACACACACTCGCTCCTCCTGCCAGTCTCGCTCAGTCCCAGGGAACGAGGTGCAAATCCATGTAAGAGAGCGGAACTGCAGCTGCTTACAGCAGGACAGATTTGGCTCTTACGCGTTCTCATTCCTGACCTTCACATGCAATTCCTAGCTTCATCCACTCCAAGCCTAACGCGCCATTACCATCTATTGGCTATCTGCCTGTCAGCGCGGCACTTAACACATGGCTTGAGCCCCCTTTAAGAAAAAGTCCATGGAGAACTCATAGAACATCAGTGTAAATTATTTGTCCATGGATTAAACCCCAAGCAAGTATTTCAGGTGTGGGAAAATGCCAATGCAAACGCACGGATTTCCAAAGCACCTCCCAAAGTTCAACCCCCACAGCCTTCTTTCATTGATTTTTAAAACTTGTGAGAAGGTAAGGGATTAAACCAAGGATATTCAGGCAGTGTGTCACGAACCACAGTTATCTTCCATCACGCCAGTGAAATGAAAAGTAATCAGCTGAAAGCACTGAACAAATCCAACCCTCTTGATGCCTGCAGTAATCTTTCTGTCACTTAGCTCTTGTCAGGGTTTGAATTCTTAACTTCTCCCTACACCTCCCCAGGAACTTGAATTCTTCAGATGGAACTGATCCAACTCATCAGAGTCCCTTCGTGCTACCAGCCGGAATTGCCTGAGGCCAGGATCACTACTCGGGGCACAAGGGGGGGTCCCCAGCCTCTAACGCGGGTGCGCACTGGCCAGCAGAGCACTCAGCGGAACCTTCCAGCCCTTGCAGGCAGCAGTACTTGAAAATTTACTTAATTCTTCTTACTGGGCTGTAGCGACTGGAGAGCCAGTCTTAACTCCTACCAGACATTAACTGACTCCCTCCTCGGTGACGGGTTGTCCCAGTGCAAAGGGGATGCAAACTACAAAGCAATCTGTTGAAATATTTTGCACATTTTTTATTTGGACTAGCTGGTGCTGGGCATGAGATTTCCGTACTGAAACCATGGATACATGACACTGTTCAGCATTAGCAGTTACTTGGATCACTTGTACGGAGGGATTCAACAAACTGAGAAGTAAAAGGTAACTGTGGAAAAGGTTGCTGATGAATTCTTAAATACTTTGGTGTTGAATTAATCAGGTGTATCCATACTAAGAAATCTTTCCCTTATTAAAAATAAAAGGCCAGATGTTAGCACATACCAGTTTGCATAGCCCCTCTGCTCAGTGAGGCCGTATCAGCGTGGACCCCGTGAGGCTCTGAATCAAAACACCTACTCTCAATATGGTTTCAAGCAGTTTGCTTTCAGCTTCCTTGCGTGTGAAAATGAACATAACCTTCCTCTCAGCTAAGCTTCCTCCCTGCCCTCCCCTCCAACAAAAGAAGCTGGGTTTTGCCTTGCCAAATGTCTGCATTTCAGCAGGACTGGACTGGCAGAAATTAATAGGTTTATATTAAAATGGAAAATACACTGCAACATTTTGACAAGTCCTGAAAAATTACAAAGCATGTTTTGTGCAGTTGTAATTTAAAAGTAAAGAAACTAATGCCATATATAAGGGATAGTGCCTTTAACCGTATACCAAACGTCAGGATAGCTGAAATGACATATTTCCTTTTCAAGGCAGATTCAATAACCCTTCCCTACTCAGCAGAGCTATGAATGACACGATTAGCTTTAATTTTCAGGAGAATTAAGTACGTGCTTACTTCTTTTGTTAAACAGGGGTGGACATTGTTGAATTGCAACCGAATACAAAGGAAAAGGGAGCCAGTGAGGGTGTATACTTAAACGCTCCAAACAATAATTCAATTATTTGTATAATCTGGGGGAAACCATTTTATTGGTGGGAGGGAAAACACAGTAAGCTAGGTTTGTGCTAAAGAATTAGTCTGGCAAAAAAAAGAGGGAGAATGTAACTTTATAGGTAGTTTTTTTTTATTAGTTTGCTTCACCAGTAAATATGGATCAGTACTTTATGTTTTAGCACTAAAGTATGAAAATTACACACCTGTAAAAATGGCATCTAACAGTTATGAAATTAAGAAACGCCTGTCATCATGTAACATACCATTAGGTGTGAGGTCATATTCAAGAAATAGTAAGGAAATTAATGTGTTTAAGATATTGAATAGCTTAGTAATGTAAAATATTGCTACCTTCAATATATCTGAAAACAGGTCTGATTTTGGGTTGTAGTAGATTTCTCACTGTATTGGCTCTGATGAGAACAAAACAAAAATACTTTCCCATCATAGGGCTGGTTAAAAACTAAAATCAACATTTTTCTGAATACATGGGGAAACTTTGAAATTGTAAATTTAAAACCTCTCACTGCGTCCCACATATGAATTGCATCTAATTTATAATTATATAGTATGTAATTTATATATTCCATGTGAAGCAAGTCTTAGGCCTGTAAGTGTACAAAACAGCAATTTGAAACAATACAGAAATAATTGTTTCAGCTCCACAAGGCTATTACACCTTCACTGTAGCTAATAATCACCTGCCACGTTTTGCCAAGAAAGGATGAACACCGCTCATCCACTCCACTGGAATGCGGAACACCGTTACCAAAACTGTGACATGATCATTAAAATAATAAATATGGTACGAAGGGGTACAGCATCTGTCGTAGAAAGAATCCATCTGGCCTAGCATTCAAGATTTAAGATTTGAGGGTCACTGTAGTTAGCAAAACTTCACTGCATTTAAACAAAACAGAAAAAGCGTACGTTTGTTGTCATGGAATGTCACATCAGGGCTTGTCTTGTATTAGAATATTATAGGCAGTAACACTGATCATATAGTGCAAACTAGATAAAATTGCGTTTCACTGTGTGAAATAAACAGAGGTGCAAATGCTCAGTAGGATACCATTAAGACATAAAATGGCAAAAAATAAATATCAAAACTTTTATCAGTGTAAAAAAGTAATTGGGTTATTGTATAACCTAGAGTCTGGCAAAAAAGGCCTCAAAAAAGTTCACTCAGTCTTCAGAAGTTCTACAAATTAAGTGCCTTTTCAGGTTTCCAATTAGACAAGAGACTCCATGCTTTCTGCGGGATCAGATTCGTCACTGGCCATCACAGCACCATTTTTGTCCAGTGTCATGGGACCGTTTCCATTTTCCTTAGTGCTGACCAAGCTTAGCATTGCCTTATAAAGAAACTGGTACTGTTCCTGGAAAAGAAAAGATAAGTTATTTCAATCCTTTCAGTGTACATAAGCCAGTGGCACTTAAATTTGGCATTTCCAGGGAAGGCCACGGATATTCATTACCATAAGCATACACATAGCAAAGAAAAAGACTCTGTTAATCTAGTTTAACCTTGTCAACCCAAAATTCCAGTTTTGGGTAGATTATATTATTCCTTGTATGTTATTAAACACTACGGGAGGGCAGGACAATACCTGAGCCCAGAGCTCAGCCCCAGGTTGTTCCCTCGTACCGGCAGAGCCACGCACACTGAGACAAGGGTGCCGCTCTCGCTGCACGCTGAGCAAAGAGCCACTCTCCTGAAGCTTTATCCCTCTGCAGCTCTCCCTGCCCTGCTGCATCCCTTCAGATCGCAACGTGCCAGCTTTAAATAGCACCGCTTAACTTAACAGGGCTGGCAGGGGGATGAGGACAAGCCGAGAGGTCCTCCTCGGCTAGGGCTGCCTGTACGGTGGCCCCCTAACTGTATGAGAAACAAGCTTAACTGCAAATCAGAGACTTACAGTGTGGGTTTGAGGTTTATAAAAAATGACAACTACACAAAAAAAGCCCAAATGCAAATTCCGCTTGGTAGCAGATGCAGTAGGGCTTGATAACATACAGAATGTGTGGTTTAGTTCATGCTTTTGGTCTCAGATGAAAACCTTGCAAACTATCCGTTTATATTCCATTTAAAGACTTACAATGTCTGTAAATACTCCAGGCCGCATAAGATTTATCATCTTTGCCACCTGGAAAACATCGACAGCATTTTCATTCTCCAGCTGCTGGGACAGAGTGGTAAGGGCACATAGCGTTCCCGCTGACACAGCTCCATACCTGAAAAATCACACCAAAATGATAAGGTACTCAGAAACATACCTGGGCATTGACACAGAGCCATGAAAATGTTGATATAGCCTTATTTGATTACTGTACTTCATCTTTGTATCTATTAAATGCTTGTTTTATACTGGCTGATTTTTAGTCATTTTCATTTACAGAAGAAATTTGATGGTACACCAGTCATCTCAGGATATCTGCAGTATTCAATGCAAAGAACTGTATCAGCAGAAGAACGTGAGCCATTTAAAAGTACCTGGCCTGGAGAGTGTAACACTGAAATCAGTTCTCACATGCCACATGTACTGAAAGCATCTGCATTATAGCTGAGCGTATTCTAAATTCATTAGTGGGAGCTCAAGCAAAACATAAACGATTAGAAAGAAATGAGAATTTGCCTCTTCCTCCACATCTGACAATTGTAGAAAACTAACATGGATATGAGGGGCTCACAAGTAAACGGGGCACATCTCAAAGTCTTCCTTAGGTCTGATTCATCGGCAAAAGGCACCATCCCCGAGTTGGGCACCCCAGAGACATTAGGGATTCTGAAGAGTTGAGCTGTGCTGTCACTTAATAAGAACCCCAGCAACAGTTATTCGTCAGCAGCACGAATCAATGTGTCCTTGAGATACTGGTCAGGTAGAAATCTTCCTGCTGCTGAATCTGTGGGTGTACTTGAATCATGCAAGCAGTTGGGGGGCATGGGATAGAGGATCCTAAGCAACAGGGGCTCGTAACTGCTTCTGAGGAGCCTCAACTGTCCTCTGCTCTCCCACCATACCGGAGACTGGCTTTGCTATGGGCTTGCTCTGTGACTTTGAGAAAGTCTGTGTCTAAATGTCCCCACCTGTAAAAGGGGACATTGGTGCTGACTTGCTCTGTAAACCGTTTGGAGAGTGGTACATGGAAACTTAAGTAATCGGCAAGTGCTGCAATGCCATCTGGTATCGTAAGATTACCGCTAGGATTTTTTTACAACATTCCTGTGGAAACTAAGACATATGCTGAGTTAATTTTGTATGATTTTTGCAAAATCAATTTGCCTAGAAATGGGAAACAGAAATCAGATCACAATAGATCTGCTCTATTTGATGAAAAGTCTGAAGAAGAAGCAGCAGAGCTTCTGCAGAGCTATATAGATGGCTGTGACTGACCAGCTACAGAGGCAGTGGACAAAGTGGCCAATGCTTGTGCCCGATGGGACACAACTCAACGCCTCTGAGGGTCTAATGGCCTCATTTTTACTTGCGCTGATAGCCTCCAGCTCCCAACAATCTGAAGGCTTTTCTCTCGGAAAATTATGCAGCAAATCTTTATCTAGTTGCCTACATATGGGCAGTTATATTTAAAAATCTTGACAACTGCCTTGAGTTGGAATTTCTGAACTTCTTTGAAATGTTGTTATCGAGTTCATCCCACCATGTACTTCCTAAATACCACACGCATTTAGTATCTGCAAATTCATATATTTGGAATTAATCTGCAGTTGTAATTATTAGTGGATTATGTGATGTAGTTGTTGCATGTAGTAAAGGGAAATTTTCATTTTCAGCTACATTTGCTTAGGCTCCAATGAAAAGCAGAATCCACATTATCTATTAGGCATAAAAATAAAATCATTGAATACGACAAATAAACCAAAAAAGCAATTTACAGAAAGAATGACTCAGCACTGTTAGGAATGCGATTTTGATTTTTTTTTTTTTGGTCTAGCATGAAATGCCCAAATCAATAATAGTTCTAATTTTGTAAAACATAATCTTAAATACTGCAAGAGTAGCAAAACCTCACTTCAGACTACCCAAAGCATGAATATTAAAACTAGCCTGGAATTAATCAGTGCTGGCAAAAGGCAACAGAGCTTACACTGTGCATTAGCAAGGCAGGAGATGGTGGGAGAAAAACTACTTGCTGCAGCCCAAGGCACCATTTGCAGGCGTCTGTAGGGAAAAACCTGTTGCAGCAGCAACACACCGATGTGAAGTGAAAGCTCTTTCAGCGGCGGCAGATACCAGCATGCAATCGCACGTCAGCACAAAGGCCGATCTGACCACTGAAATACCAGACTATGGTAATGTTTTTGCACAAAAGGTGAAGATTTCCAAGACTTTCCCACTAACTCTGTTTTGCAGCAATGACAAAAGGTCTAATGGACTTGAGTAGGGGGGGTTGCAGGTATAGCAGTTGTTTATGCTGGCTTGGTGTTTGCTCTAAGAGCAACTCAAGCAGTGTCAGAAACTGGCCTTCCTTGGGATTTTAACAGCAGAATGACTCCAGGAAGCGCTCTGCCCGTCAGGAAACAGTCCCTCCAAAGAGATCCTGTTAGACCCAGGCTCCAGCTTCACTATAACGGCATTTTGCAGCTCCATAATGTGTGCAAAGTAATAATATGCAATACAGTATTTAGCACCCTTTATAACTGGGCATTCAAGCATAGCTGGCAAGACAATACTCACCACTGCACTACAAAAGAGACAAGTGTCGGGGCATGCCGGCCCTGTCTTAGCGGGCTCCCTCCCTCCCACTTGGCACCATATGGGCCCCCTGGAGTGTTTTTGGGGAAGCAGGAGGAGGAAAAATAAATCTGCGCTTAGAAAACCTGGGCCTTTTGTCACAAGATACTTCTGCTGCTCATCCTGAGACACAGCTGAGCTGAGCTTGTTCTGCCTTATGTGGCACATTAAACCTGAGCTGTTAGGAGCTCAGGGCTGTTTTGAAACTGGTTTCCATAAGCCCATATCAGGCTGCTCAGAGCCTTATCTAAACCAGGGCTCTGCTGGATCCTGACACAGGTTGTAGGATTTGTTTGGGATAATTCCAGGTGCAGAAGAACCCAAAATGATTACAAAGCAAACACAGCTTCACTTTCTGAGTCCACCTAACACTACAACCAACGTAAAAACGACACTAAGCAAAATGTATTTGGCCTCAGATGCCAACTGAAACCTCCTCCCTGGAAGTTTAAATATTCTGATCCTGTTCCCTAGACCACTAAACCCCATCCACTCCATGCAGGAATGGACATCAATCCTAACAAGTGTCCTGTAGCTGAGCAACTCCTTGTACAACCTGCACAGAAATGGGAGAAAAGAGATGACATACTCATCATGAACTATGGTGGGGCCATCCCTTGTTAAGGCCTCTTCCTTGATTACATTGATAAGCTCAAAGGTACTGCTTATGGGAGCATCTGGGTTTGGCCATTTAGGACACTGAAAGTGGCGGACTTCCAGAACGTAGTCATCCTGCAATGAAAAAGCAGCCTGGGCATTAGCTACTTTAGTTTCACATTTATCTACTCCAGGTAGAAAGAGGGAAGAGCCTCACGACAAACTGAAGAGATACTTTCTTCTTCCAAAGAGTTTACATAGAATGAAGAAGACAGATGCACAGCTCTAGCATCCCTGTAACAGTGAATGTGCTAAAATAATACAACTTAAACAAAATGTTTAACTGATAGATTTTGTATTTGAATTCAGGGCTCATATTCACATAAACCTTCTCTCAGAGCTCTTACAGCTCAAAAGTCAAACAAGAGAAGAGCAACCAAGGAATTAAAATTTAAAAGGGCTTGCAAACTAATGTTTTCCAGCAAAATCCAGCTGCAATCCTGACAGCAAACTAGAGGCAGGTTTATAGCTCAAAAGAAATGTGCTTAAGTAAAACCCCTTAATTAAGACCCCCAAACAATTAAACTATAAATGCTGAATTTTGTAAGCAGAAATAGGACAATAAATCTTGGTGTACTTCACAAAGGATAATTCAATCTACTTGTATGATTTCAAAATGAAAAACGAATGTTTTCACTTTCAAATAAGACAAACAATCAATACTATGGTCTCACTAGGTAGAGGAATCTATCTGGAAGTAGAGGATGTGAGAGGGAGAAGGAGCCAACAAGAATACCTTTCCTCTGTGAGCAACATGCATGCACATGCATTTACAAGTAAATCCTTTTCAAAACTGTTCCCAAACATTTCTTCGTCCATATTTAAATGACATCAACGACATTTTGCGGAAAAGCCAAGAGTTTTATTTTACCTGGGTAGCTTCAAGGATAAAGTCATGGATGATAATTTGCTCTTCGTTAGAGAGGCACAGTCTGTCTTTGCTGATAAGGGTCACAGTAAAGGCCTCACAGTTCATGGATTCCTCGCGACTTGGCCAGTACACAAACTCGTCTTCTGCCTGGAGGAATGAAACAACACACTACTGCAGCCTTTCAGATACCTTGTGTGTGACTGAAAAATCCAGTGGATCAAAAAATTGGTTTGATAAATAGAGAGGATCAGGAGCTGACCTTTAAAAACCATTTCCGTCTAAAACAGATTTACTATTACAGTAGGCAGTAAGCCTGCCAGATCCTTCCTTTGTGTGTCCAAACAGGTAACGTCTGCTTTTTAATTGGTTTCATAGGGAAATGGTTACCTTTGCTCGCTCATACTTAACCTTTGTATTGTATCCCAGGCTTTATTACCTCCTGCCTACACAGTTTTGCATGAAAGTCAGATATCTGTTTAGAAAAAAACTCATTGACCTTTAAAAATTAATTGCTTATTATTTTTAATTTGTATTTGTTGTGGTCTAATCCAAAACTCAACAGTATCAGTAGAAGGTCTGTGGATCAGGTCTAGGTAGAAGATTGATGCATACTTACGTAGGGGTTGAATTTTTAGGAGCAAGAGGAGGAGTGAGGAGAAAGGAAGAAACCCAGATATTCTTAGCCTTGAAAAAACCACTGGCTTAACTTAAATGCAAATTCTCCAGCAAAACTCATCTACTGAAGGGACACTATAAAATCTCAGTGAGACTGTGAGTGGTGGAAGAAGCTCAATGCTAAAGTAGCCAAACTGACAGGGTGTAGATAAAATACTGTCAAAGCTATTCTTTAAAAAATAACTGTGCATTCCTAATTCATTGCAGAGAAGAGAAATAAGGCTCTGTCATCACATACATGCAAAGCTTGTTTCTCCTTCTGGCTTCAGGGATCTACTGTCCCTGCAGCTTAAGCACAGAAGCTACCCTGACAGCATGCACGGCACCGCACGCCTGTGTCTCTGAACAACCCGTGTTTTACTCATGAGAAAACATGAGCTACGAGCCCACTTCATCCCACTGCGGCCATTGGCATGTCTCTAAACCCAGGCTTATCTCTGTGGGCCTGGAGCCTTGATGCACATGATGTGCAAGATACTGGTGAGATTTGGGCCTTAAATGTTTATTCTGAAAATGGGACTTAGGGTCCTAGGTCCTCTGAGTGCTTTGAAAATTCTGCCCTCGGTGTGCAGAGATGCCAGCAAGCAGTGTAATGTTGCTGAATGCCGGGGAAGTGACCTGTCCTGCCAAGTGACAGGTCCCTGTGCAGCAGTAGTGTGCATTATCATCTCATCCTTTGGCATTACACATTCAGCACCTTGACACAGTCTCAGTCCCATGCCACCCCTCCTTGCCAGCCAACAACCCACAGCAAACACCGAGCCAATGCATGGATGCTACTGCGCTGCTGGCCAGCCTCCACCCTGGGAACGGTGAAGGTGAAAGCAGGGACCAGGAGTCCTTGCAAAAGGTGTGGCTGAGTCCAGCGGTCGTCCTTTACCCTTTAATCACTATTGTTCTGCAGAGCTGTTTCATGTACTTGTAAAGACAAGATCAGCCTCTTCATTTCCACCTGACACACTTTCATTTCATTAGTGCTTTCTGATTCGATCGGATTTCTCTGAATGCTCTTCGCCTTGCAGCGCCTGCAATCCCTTTCATCGCGCCGCACACAGGAAGCGTTATCGACTGCTGCCTCTTTAGTAGCCCCTCATGACTGCTATTTTCCTGCTGTAATGAAGGCAGTTTCTCTCCCACTCTCAGCTACAATCGTCTATTCACCTCAGTGATGCGTGCATGAAAAAATGAACCGTTTAGTTCTTAATCCTTTTCAACGCGCCCTCTTGAGACGTGCTAGTAAATCTGGAAGTAGTGATTAGCACTTCACCTGTGTCTCCTTCTCTCTCTGTCTCATTATTTCCACTTAAATTAACATACATGTTTGCTTTTTACTTTCATCAAAAATAGCATTTGTAACCTTCCACAGCCGTAGCCTTGCACAGCCTGAGCCTGAAGCCCCCCGGCAAAAAAGCAAGTATCCTACGGTCCCTGCTTTGCATTTCTGCTCCGTTCAAAGTCCTTACCCATGGCCCTGGCCACCCAGTAACCTCAGTGCCCTGCACCCCACCAGCCAGGCAGCCCTCAGGAGCTTCGCAGAGGTCGTCATCACCAGCATGCTGCCTGTGAGCACTGTGGTCCCTCCAGCTCAGGACGTCTTTCGCGGGGGTGAGGGCAGAAGGGGAGAACAAAAAAACCCACGCCCCACATCTCAGAACTTGTCTTTTTGTAACAAGCTTATGGCAAAGTTTGAGAAGGTGGCTTAAAAATTGGCTTTGCTTTCAACCAGAAAATAGCCACAGCGTGCAACTAAGTGACCCTACGGTGGTGCCCAGCTGGGCTAAGTGACTGCGGTACCGCGCCGGGAGGGCCGCGTTTAACTCACCAGGCTCTGGTTGTCCGGCAGCATGACGATGATCTGTGCGTTGTGATCCCAGATCATTCGCCAGAAATCTTTAGTCGTATGTGGCAGTGGATGTTGGGTTATGATGAACTCGTTACTCCTGTAGTAGCCCTTTTGCAGCAAAACAAACCACACAGTTACTTACTGCCTTCAATACTTCTAAAGCATTAATTTCATCTTCGGGGACACATAATGACCCTATTTCATTTTATTCCACAATATTTTCACACAGACTATAATTTTATAACTTCATTTCCATTCTGCAGAGTCCCTGTTGTTTTCATTTACTCTAAATCCCAGTATTTATTTGACTGTATCTCATGGAAATACACATTCCATCTAAATGTATCTTGTATTTAATTTTTTTAGGCAACAATCTTTAATAAAACACAGTTAATAGCTTTACATTATGGGGAAGGTGTTAAAAGCTCATCTGTTAATACACAGCCATTACATACAGAATTAAGACAATTACAGGCATCTGGTATTTAGCACCTTAAAATTGATTTTACTTTGTAATTAGGTGTTGGCTTCCTCACCATGATATAAGAGGCATTAATGTAATCTGTTCCCTTCATTCCAGGCAGTGGTGCCAAGCCCACTCTAGCACGTTCAGCTATAAGATTAAAAAAAAAAGGGAAAAAAAAAAAAAAAAGATCAAAGTCTGGTCATGGCACAATGCAGAATGTAAGAATTTCTCAGACGTTAACAAACCAAACACTGTGCAGCTCCCATCTCCCGCAGGAGCAGGCCAGCACTTTAACTGCGTTAAAGCATTGCCTGCTAACGCAGGATATAAAAGAGAATGTTGCACAATATTCCCACAAGGACAAAGTAATTTCAGGAATCAAATTTTACTATAGCAAAGATTTTCACAGCAGGCTGAATTACCAAATAACAGTATATGCAGTGATAACAGGGGATTTCAGGTAATTCTTGACTGTAGTGTTCCATTTGTCTCCAGCAGCACACAAACCCAGCTGATTTATTTTGTTTTCCCTACCACTCCGTAGCACTACCATCACTCACTACTCCCAGCTGGAGGGTGAGAGAACCTCCAGAGACAAAACCCTTCCCTAACGGGTAACCACCCAGAAGCATGTGCGCATTCTTCAGCAGATCTACACTTCTCCGTTTTTGAGGGCTGGATTCAACAACATCCTCAGAGCAACGGACAGGGCCCAAGCGCCAAACTGAAACCACTGCAGCGACATGACGCTAAGTGCAAAGTCGTATAGACTATGTCTGCCCTGTTCACATTTGGTTTTAAGATATATCCTGATGACTTCCCTTTTTATTAACAAACCTCATGACGAACCGTATCTGTGCCATTATTATTTTGTGCTAGCTTGGCTATCATCTGTCCTGTATGTCCTGTACTCTGGGTAATGTGATGGGAATGACGTTGTGCCCATGCTTGGTCTGGTGCAAATTCATACTGATTGGCAGCCATGCGCAGATTCCGTATTAATGACTGTGAAAATGTGTCCTCGGGCACTAAATACCCTCTAATCTGGGGAAGGCTCACACGCAGAAATTGAATGTCATAGCTGAATTACAAACAACTTGTGCCAATCGCACTGGGAGATCTCACCTGAGCTGGGAGTGGTATCAAAGTAATTCTCTCAGTATTCCATAGATTTATCCCCTACCTAATTATTCAAATTCTTAAGCACTTCAAATTAACATTTCACTTGGACAGTGTATCTGGCTGACACTGTAACTATTTTCTTTTGTTCAGTTTCATCAGGCTAATTCTGAAAGACAAGATAGCTTGGTCTGAACAAAACACTGCATTTCTCCTTCCTCGTGGCTATGCCTTTTCATGCATAACACCAGGAGAATTCAGTACAGAAAGTTATGCTACGCAGTAATCAAACCGAAGATGTGATCTTACACGGCACGACTGATGAGTTCCTGTTCTTCTCTTTGTTGCAGTCTTTCTGAGCACTGAAGCATTCCACGTATTTTGCATTACACTGCGTAACCAGCTGAAAGAGAATAAAGTAATAAGTCAGTCCTCACAGCGCTCTAAATGAAGAGAAGAGGTTTCTTTGCCAACTCCTGCGAAGATGCATCAGTAGAAGAATAAACTGCATTGTTAAACTTGTTTAAAGTACTCATGATGCCAATGGAGATCATCCTTTTCATACAACATGTTTAATGGATAAAAAGATCTCTGCAGCTCTCAGCTTCGAAACATCCTGAAAATGGAGTTCCATCAAAATGTATTTCACAGAAGACTACGTTTAGTTATCTTTGAGAATACATTTCAAAGCCTTGCAGATATGTTCAGTCAGAAGCAGCTCTCAAGGAAGAACAGCTAGCAAAATAAAACAACAACAAAACTTTTATGTTTTCTTCTAAAATAAAAGCCAGATCATTCCTGCAGCACGTCTTTTTCTGCCAGGCCTTCGGGGAACCCACCATGCCGGCATCTGAGATCCGAGGCCATGGGTAACACTCTCTGGTCTGCCAAGTTCATTCTGGGCTGCTTATGAGGCACGAAGAAAAGTCAGGGAGGCAGATTTGTGTTTGAGTGTTTCCCCAGTGTATAGGGAAACTCTACCAGAGCTAAGAGGGTAAAGGTGGCTTTTTCATCTCCTGCACTAGCAACTCATTACTCAGAGTAATTTTACTCTGAGATGGTTGAATGTAAGCTATTGTAGTAGGGAATGAGCACAAGTTATTTTCTGCTGGCTCTGTGGTAGCAGCAGAAACAAGAGAAAGATTTAATAATTGCTACTGGCCACATCCCAGTTTCACATGCACTCTAAACAAGATAGCACTCAACTCATGTATGTACTGGCATAAGCCCCATTAGAAGTTACAGCGTTTCTAAATACCTGTGCAACGCTGGTGGAGAAAGTAATTTCTGAAAATGGCACTTAAGTTTTTGAAATTTTGCCATGAGTCGTCAGAAAACATCTTTATACATATAATTTAATATTGTTTGTAAAAGCGCAACACTTTTTTTTAACAAGAAATCTTTTATCCTGCTGCATTTAGTGTGCGTGTGTGCGCACTTGCGCTTGTTTCTTTAATTTAGTAATTAAGCATCTGGAATGTCTTGACTGATGGAGAAGTACTGAGATTTCTACAAGTGAAGTCAGAGAAGAGTCTGTTCATTTTTTGAATAGCTTGGCACCCGGTATAATTTAACAGTTTCAGTTCCTTAGGTAGTTATTAACTGAGCTTAGCTATGAAAACAGATGTCACGTATAATCTTATGATACATAGTCTTACAAAATATTTTTAAATGCATTCAATTAAAATGCAATCAGAAAACCTTAGGTTTCAAATAGGAGATCTGAAAAAAAAAAAAAAAAAATTACTTTGGCCAGGATGAAAGCAACTGTGACATAGCAGGGAAAAGCAGCAAGCACAGTTATTGGCAATGAGAAAGGCATATTGTGTTTCCCAGTCTTAAAACATTTTTAATTCTTTATCCAGTGCTGAAATAGCAGGTGGTGTTAAGAACCTCATTTCATGTCTTTCTCCATATATATGCATGAGAGCCACAGTTTGGAGGAAGACTTCCAGCCAAACTAACCACAGACTCAGGAATATCCAAGCCCCCTCGGGAACAGGGAGACCAGCAGCACTCTCCAAACCAGTGCTGGCGTCCCTCTCCTCACCTCTGACTTCAAGAGTGTTAGTGCTGATTTCCAGCAGTGTAGCTAAGACTATTGAGCACCAAACTTGTCAAGATGCTGTGCTGTGCTAATCAACTGTTCTGGTTTGGTTCCTTATCTATGACAACTGACAGTGAAGACAGGCCATACAAAAGAGAGTAGGGAAATTAAGTCCCTCTGGATGGCAGTGATAAGCCTTACCTTGAACTGTTTTTCTAGTCGTGTCTTCCCTCCTATGCCAGGTATCAGGATGCTGTTAACATAACTGTGCAGCTGGTTTGCAGATACTTCAGTCTCCTTCCCAAGGATGGCTTCCAACAAGGCATCATGAATAAAAATGTACTGCTCCTAGAAAAACAACAGCATGTCACGTAGGCACTTGGAATAAACTAAACAGCTGGCTTTAACTGAGGGGTAGAGCACACTAAAGGAAAGGGTGTGCAAAACAAGCCACCCATGCAAATAGTTCCAAGTCCAGAATAAACATTTACAAGTGTAGCACGGACAACTGAATAAGCCAAAACAAAATCTGAAGTTTTTGGTCTAGAAGAAGAGAGACATTCCAGTGCAAAAAATGCCTGGCGATATACTCAGTTTTTACAGGGATATAACTGAAAAATCCATTTTATTTTTGATTACAACATGAAAATGAACATGGCTTTAAATTCAACCCCACTGCAATCTTTACCTCTGTCTGGACGAGGTAGTTGCGCTGTGTCCTGATATGTTTCAGGAAACCCAGGACATTAACTGTGCTTTTGTCTTTTATCTGTTGCAGCATACTGTCTATCACAATGTAGGTACCAGTTCTGCCAACACCAGCACTACAGAAGACATAAGAGAAACCCATATAATACAGCTGGACCAAAGGAAATGTTCACAACAGCAGAATATAACTAAGCAAATACTCCTGTTCACAGACTTTCATTTGCCTGCTAGCCCCAACCATGAAAGTTTCTAAACAAAATATTTTGGGTTTCTGGGAATTTTACCAGGTGCATATTTCACGATCTGAGACTTGGCTGTCCTGTCTCCACTGCTGTTGTTACTGGTGTTGGCTAGAAGAAGCCGTATAGAGATCCACCCTATGCCAAACTGTTGCTATCCCGGACCACCAAGGTTGTTCCAGGCTGTGGGGCTGTCCTGGTTGGCTTCAGTCTTGAGGTGAGGCTTAAGCTTCACAGTGGAGCTGTAATCCTGCTCTGGAAATGCAAGTGGTACCAGCACTATGGAAAGGCATAAGAGCGGGCTAATCCTGTGCAGGCAGGACTCCTTGAAGGGGAGGAGGGTGGTCCTGGGCCCAACAGAGAGGGCAGAGAGGGGAATTCTTCAGAGCTTCTCGATTTCTGCTCAGGAAGGAGCTCTAACCCCCAACATCCCCTCCTCTTCGCTATGGTGCTGTACAGCCCCCTCACACACAGTGATGAAGACCACATCCCTTAACTCATTTAAGGGAAATCCTCTGTTGACTGCAAGTGCTGGTGAATGTGAATGTGGTTCAGTGGCAATTGCATGCCCAGGTGTCTGTCTATTCACATGGTTTGCTGCCGGCAGAGGTAATCCTGCCCTGCCCACGCACTGCACGGGCAGGCTACAAACAAGCTTCGAACAAGGAACTGCCCGACCACATCGCCGCAATGCTCAGCAGCTCAGTATCATGACACAGGGTTTTGCTAACGCAACTGGGAAGCTTTTGCATTGGAGCTGTCTTAAGATGTAGGCAAAGCAAACTCATGTATACCTGCACTCCATGGGGCTGGCACACTCCTCCTGTGTTAGTAACTTACGGCATTTGTCTTAGCTGGCGTGTAAGAGCACACGCTGTGCACTGGGTATGCTTGCCCTGAAGTTGTTAATCACACCCATCATACCTGCAGTGCACCACCACTGGTCCCATGTCCGGGGTTCTGGCTGCGGAGGATCTCCTAACGAAGGTTAGCACGGGCAGAGCGTACTCTGGCACACCCATGTCAGGCCACTGAGTGTAGTGATACTGAATAACTGTTCTCTCGTTCTGCCGCCCTTTGGGGTTTCCTTTCTGACCCTGTGTGCAAAGTGTGTGCAGAAAGAAGAGAAAGATTAGGGAAGAGAAGCATAGAAAGATACTCAATCCTACTGGCTTGCTCAGCTGAAGAAGTGCTCGACTCTAACAGAAGAAATCTTCTGCAGCTCTGCCTCCTGCTAGGTGGAGACAGAGTTCAAGGAAAAATACATGTGGGAACAGGTAATAACAGCAATAACTGTGACACCAAAGCAGCAGTGAAGTTGAGAAAAAGAAATACAGGCTAAACCTTTCACCAGGTTCCTTTTAATCCTGGCTTTGCTTACTTATTTCCCATCCACCTGCTACTTCAAGTTGCCTATGCAGACGCCGGGTTTTTCTCCTGTGTGCCTTGCATCTCACACAAGCCAGAAGGCATCTGGATGAGAAGAGTGAAGGCTTTACTCACCTTTTTCATCTTTGTGTTCCTGACTGTGAAGCGGCGCACAGTGTAGCAGGCATGGATGTTTGTGCTCTTCAGCGTGACGATTATGTTGCCATACTCCTCGCTGTTCTCTGATGGCCAGTACTGATCACATTTTCTCTGAACAAAGACACAGGGACACAGGTGGGTGGGTTGGCTAAGGGTTTGAGCTGCTTCTTTATATTTGTATTTAGAGGTTTTTAAAAAAGTAAAATCATGGCTAGCTATGTATCCCTCTGTTATGTTAGTTATGTATTATACATCAATATATATCATCCCAAACCATCTAAAAACTAATTTTGCCCATGTGGTTCAGGGAGGTGGTAAGGAGCAACACTTGCTAACTTTGCTAACAAACTAGAAAATCTCTTACTCTTCCTTTTTCAACCAGGTTTGTGATCATGACAATGATTCCAGTATTTTGTTCCCAAATCATCCTCCAGAAATCTTCAAAGGTAGACTTTAAAGGTCCCTGGGTAGCAATGTAGGCTTTTGCTTTGTTGTAACCCTTCAAAGAAAACCATAATACCAAGTGAGATGAAAGCAATATCGCGGCAGACATATTAATATTTTAAAGGTATCAAAGAAAGGTGCCTTTCTCATTCAGAATAGTAAGGACTTTGTAGCAAAATTATCAGGTGAAGTTGGAAAACATGACCACTTCACAAGTGGCCATACTTCCTCCTTGTGGAAGGATTCAGAGTTAGAGAAGAAAACACAATTCAAACAACTTACATCAACATAATTAGCATTAATGTAGTCACTGTGCTTAGAATCTTTTCCTGGTAAAGGCCTTAGCTTCACCCTGCTGTGATCATCTGCAGGATAAAAAACAGAGCAGAGAAGCATTAAAGAAACACAGTGCAGAACTGGAGATAAACATCCCATTTCCTAGGTATCAGAGCAGCCCTTATTAGTGCATGCAAGAAATTGGCCTTGGGTTGGAGTCAAGGGGGAGGTGGGAGTACGTGTTCTTGGTCATCTGCTCATGGTAGCAGGTCCTCAGGCTTACATCCCTTGAACTATGTGGTTTGTGCTGGGACAGCTTCTCTTTAAAGGACACTGGAACGTCAGGAGCACAATCTCTAGGATCATCCACATCACACAGTGCAGTGTGATTCAAAGCGCCGGCCACCCCAGAGGTCTGCGTAACACCATGCGGAGACACCGGCTCAGCTCTCGCAGGCAGTAATGCTGCCTTGGCTTGGCTCGGTGTCCGAGCTCACTACCCTCCACTCGCTGCTGGGCTCAGACAGCTCTACTGGCGCTGGGAGCTCAGTGGATGTCCTCACTCCTTCACCACTCTTATCACACCAAGAGGATAGACTTCAGGCTACCCCCTTTAGCTCCTCTTTTTGTTCTACCCAAATGCTTGATTTCAGCTTAAATGAGAAAAAAATTGCAGTCCTTCTCCTGCTCCACATTTCCCTCCCAGACCTGTAATAATCTGCATTCTAGAGCAGAGTCCAGATTTGCAGTTCTCGGAGGAATACAGGCAAAGCCTGCACTGTGCTACAAAGATCACTTTGTCCAAGTCGTACACACAGCTGAAGCAGTTTGAAATACAGCAGATACACTCTGTAAGATTTAGCACCTTTGGGATTATAAGGGAATCCCCAGGATCATCAATAAAACTCTTTGCTCCACCACGCACTTCCCTTAGGCCAGTTTTCAGACATTAGCAGGCAGAAGAGCTCTGATCATCAATTTATCTCAGTTATTCCTCCACAAAATTTCATACCAAACTGACACTTCTAAAATGACACTAAAATGACATCAAACTGCAAAATATTTTAGACCAAAAGCTGGAATGAAATCCTGGCTCCAGAGAAGTCAAAACGTCCGCTGCCTTTAGTAGGGAAATGATGTCCCAGCCACACTTCCACGTTTTTATTAATTACTGTGCAATAATGTAACTTGAAGCCACCTGCCTTTTCCAGTCACACACAGACACACTGTGAGAGGAGAGCGCCTTTTTGGGTTGATTCATTGTGCTTACTTACAGGCTAGGATGTTGATGTATCTGTTCTTGTGCTTGTTGTCGGGGTGGTTGGAATGCTCTGCAGTGATGTTCATGTCGGCCGTACAGCGCTGCACTTCCTAGGCATAAAAATTATTTGAATGGAAAATGTGTCAGTCCAAAAAATTTAAGCTTTACCTCCTTTTACAACAGCTTACAGAAACCGTGTTTAAAATACCGGTATCTTCATTGTTGGATTGAACACAAAGTCCTTCAGTATTGTCCTGTATGACATGGTCTGCTTAAACTGAGCTGTGTTACCTGCTCCCTGGTGTGTGGTTATGCTTCTCTCCACGGACTTGGTGATAGATGCACTTTGGGCACCCTGAGGGCCGACTGTCCCCTCTGACCAGCAGTCCATCCGTCTTCTGGACTGCATCTCCTGTGATGCCTCACTCTGTCCCCTCTTGGGAAGGGAAGACAGAGTCCCTCAAAGGCAAGAGTGGCCAGTGCAGTCTAAGAAACTAAGCACAAAACCCGCTTCAACAGAAGCCTTTGACCGCTGGACAACTTACCTGCTTATAACCTCTCAAAACAGGGTTTCTGACATTTACGTTTGGCACTGACCTTTTGTTAGTTCTCTGCAGAGAGATGCCTTTTATAAAATATAAATACAATAGATCTCTGAAGATAACAGCGAGTGCTTTAAATACCACTGCTTGGACACCGATTAACAGCCCACGATATAGTGAAAAATATACAAGCTTGTATCCACATCTACAAAGCAGAAAGAGGCCAGGCTTGCCAAGGTGTTCATGAAGCTAGAGGTGCAAATTTCTGTCTAGCTGAGGCTGTAGGTTAGATCCCTAACTTGCATTGATGTTTTTAGTTCTTAACCTACCCCTTACTTACACTGTCCAACAACAGAATACAGGGCTATTGAAAGGGGGCAATGGAGGGTCTTTTCTCTGACCCTAGAGAAGAGCAGCGATTCCCCTTGGCCATACTGTCCCAGAGAATTACACACTTCAGAGACTGTCTTGCAAACTGCATCGCTAAAACTCATCTGCAATACCACCTCCAAGATGTGGGTTTTTTGTATCTATTCAACCACAATCTTCCTGAAAAAACGAAACCCCTTTTTATCTCTAGCATAAATATTCTTAGTTTAAAAACACATTTTTGAAAAATATATCAATGTTTGGAGTTTACAAAGTTGTGGAAGAAACTGCATTTATTCAAATCTTTTGCGAGTCCCAGAAATCGCACCAAACAGAACCAATTTCCCCCAAGGATATAGAGAGAAGTGCCAAATTACTTTGTACTTCAGGCTTTAAAAATAACAGTATAGAACCTGCCTAAGAGGGAAAGTCATTAGGAGCTCACAGCTGCTACAAAGATCACGAGCTAAGTGACAGAGAAAAATTATCAAGAGAAATGCTATACAAACAGCAGATGTAACAGAGTTCAGCATTATGCAGACATTTCACAAAGGACTTGCATAGCAATTTTGATATCTTCCCCAGCACTTACATTTTAAAAGTGCAAAGTATACTAAAACCTTGAACATTTTATAGCTTTTATATCCACATGACACTCCCAAATAACAATTGCTTCTCTCTCCATTCCCCCCTCTCCATAGGGAGAAGCATACTACATTCAAGGAGCTGAGCTGAGCAAAGACAAAGAGAAATCAAGCAAAACTCTCAGCTGGCCCTAATAGAATTTTCATACTTCCATTTCTATCACAGAAATAAAAAAACACATTAAAGTGTGCGTTTCCCCTAATTCTGCCTGTCAGCTCCAGTAGGCAAGGGACTTCTGATTACACAATGGGCAGGATCAGTTCAGCCTAAGTCATAACTGGAAAAGCAGCATTGCTTACATGTTAGGTTGATTTAATGTAATTTCGTTTTACCTTTTTTTGCATTTAGAAATCATATAACATCACTGCTGTACCATTGTAGGTCATTCCTAAAAAATAACCCCTCGCTTCTGAAAAGCCTCACATCAAACTCTACATCCCTGCATCACTACAGAATTCTTTTCAGAAGTTATTAGCATTGAAACATTTATGCCAAATGCCACAGAATTTAATACAGATGAATCCAATAAGGTTCTGTGGAGAATACTCTAAAAAGTTATAGAATTTAATAGGGAATTGCCTCCCTGCTAAGGAATTTTCTCTGACAGTTTAAATACTACATAGTAAATGTATCACTTTCTATTAAATTCTATAGGATTTTTCCATAAGGAATTGTTGGTGAGGTTAATCATTTTAATTAACCTTTTTATGCTGATGCTGACTGTTTTTTTCAACTGTACATGTTCCCAGCTGGCCAATATAAAGTTAATAGAAGAGGAAGATTAAGCTAAGATGGTGAAAAACACAGCAAGGGAAAAGAAGGTCTGATGCTGTGAGAGCTGATCATCTGAAAATGGCTTTTCTTAACACGTAATATTCTAAATGATTTTTAATACTCTGGAAAGCTGCTATAACGGTGGATTCCTATGTCTGCACACTGCAAAAACATAGCAAAAGGAGACTGTTCAAGAAAAGCTTCCCCCTTGCCAACGCACCTCAACTATTTTTGTCTTTTTAAAAATCAACACAGAGCAATAAAAGGCCAGTTTGTCTTCAGCTCTGCCCCGCACCCTCACCGGTCCAGAACACAACCAACACTCTTGAACATTGAAGTTGTCCAACAAGAAGGGGCCTGAGGACATCCTCCAGCTCTGTGTGGGCCACTGACGATGTCTGGCTGTGCTGCATGGACAGATCAGGTTGAGAGCGGAGGGTGGTTATCCGTGCTCTCTTACCCTCCTACATTCATCTCTCCAAATTCTAGTAGCGAATTACTAAACTACAGGCTCACCCCACCAGACAGTAAGGCATAAGCTAACATTCCTTTGTTATTAAAGTCAAGGTGGTTGTCTTTCATCAATGCACAAAATGCTGCAAGAAGACAAGACCAGCTGCAGCCTGTTATCGACGCCTCTCTTCAGAGTATTATTTACCCTTTGGCAGAAGAGGACAGCCCAGTGTTAAAAAATATCATGCTGGAGAAAGTTCCAAAAAGTCACCATCCTAATTATGCCATTTTACCACATTTATGTATATTACATATTTACTTTCCCAGCGTTTTCGATTGCTTATGCAATGACCACCCTGGGATTTCTAAATCTTACTGGCTACCAAGTCCGTCATTTGCATTTAAAACATCACCGTGATTCTACTATTATTACAACTCAAGTTTGCAGGCAGAGCCACCAGGTCAGGTCTGATACGAGGCTGCTCACTGCAGCCTAAACAAACTCCTCTCTAATTACCACAAAACTGCTACTGGCACCTCGGAGTAGGACAGATAGTATCCATACCACCACATCCATCATTCATCCACAAACTTTTCAGTTCTAGAGTCTTTTCTTTGGCTTTCCTTAATCCCGCTTAGTCTCTTCCACTGGCGGCTGGCTGGCACACTGCTGCTCTTCATGTTTAACTTTGCAGAACACATTACTGTCCAAAGATGAATGGATACAGGCTCTTATTCTGTCCTTTCAACTTATCATTGACAACCGAAGAAACCAAAGTACATGGTTTCAATTGACCGTTAGTTACTGTAAAAAGTGTTCTAGTCTATGCTATTATGGCTAATTTACCTTTTAATTATATTGTTCATGCTAATGCTAATTGGAATTTGATACACCCAGGTTTAACGACCCATTTTCATTGCCTTTCTGAAACAAGTTACAGATTAGTTTCTTCTAAACTTCAAAGAATTTCCATTTAAGTGTAAAATCAAACTGCTCCAGTGTCTTGCTGGCAATATAAGGTTCTGAGCAAGAATTTTTGCTACAGTGACTGAGCAGGAACTCGGTCTCTTGATTTGGCCTTATGCAGTGCTGCTGTTGTTTCCCATTACTTCAGTCTGATGTCCTAACAGGGGCTGAACTGTGAAAGCCTATGAATAGCAATGAGGAGGAATCATGAACAAAGAAAAGATCCTAATTTGAAGGACTAAATTAGAGAACATAGCTCTGTTTTGATATTATTGTGATATTTTTCAGCATGAAAGCATTGAGTTCATCCACCCCTAAAATCATTTTTGACCTATTATTTTAATCCCAAATTAGAGAATTCTGTGGTAGTGCTCTTGCTGTTTGTTTTATCACAGCAAACATGAAGGCGGCATACCAACAGAGACAGCAGATAGTATTTGAAGATATCCCACAGGAATAGTGTAGATTTTTGCAATAATTTAGCCCTAGTATAAACTCTCCGAAGGCACTCAAGAGAGAGGTGAGCTGGGGACAGCCTAGAAAGAAGGGGAAAATAAACAAACCAAAAGGACTCAACACAGGAATAACAGAAGAGGACTCATGAATAGACAGCTAAAAATTCATGTAAATGAATGCGAGAGGAGAGGACAGTGGAGGGCCATTTGCTTGTGATATCCCGCCCTTCATTAGGCAGGGAGGTGTCAGAGCCTGACTGAAACCTTGCATTGCCCGTGTCAGGCTACGGCTCCTCCGATCGGGGCTTCCAGGCAGACACTTTGAGTATGGCTGCGGTACTATGGTTAGTAACAGAAAGCCCAGATACATGAAATTCTTTTATTGCTTCTCTTCAACTTTACCTCTTAATTCAGGTAAATGCCAATTTCTTAGCGTTGGTCAAGTGGTGAGATAAGAACAGAGAAATCCAGGAAGACCCTCTTCTGCAGCAATCCTTCCTCCTCCAGCTTCACAGTGCTGCTTCCCTTCGGTTTCAGCACAGCGATGTGCAGGCTGAGAATACCTCTAATTATGGCAGTTTTGGGCCAGGGTTATAAAACATTTCCCAGTGCAGTAATGTCTGCTAGCAGCAAGCTTTTGAAATGGCATCTTTCTACTGCCAAATTCCTTGGTGTAGATGCAGTTATAAGCATGTGCTTGGTGTAAGCTGAGTCTAATCTGTAAGGGATGCCAGTATAACTACACAGTGTTTTTAGTGTCTCAAGAAATGCGCAAAGTGCAGCGTTATCAGTCTTCAATGCAGCCCTTTGCTGGAGAATAACATTCCGGGGTCACCGGTTAAAAAGAGCTAGTGACCCCTGCCCTAAGCAGCAGCAACCATGAGAATAACGTTAGCAAATCCCTG